ATTCTGCCTTGAAACTGAGCTGCGGGTATTAGTGCGAACATCTCCTCCCTACTATCTCCACGGTAAATGCGGTAGACTATGAATAGAGACCCCACATCTCTATGCAACGACAAGGGATCCAGCCACACGGAAAGTTACTTTCCGGAAGCCAATTTCAGTCAGCCACTACTCGGTTTGGAAGAAAGTTCTTTCGGGAATTTGTAGTATATTGAGTGGTCTTTCGATCTAAAGAACTACCCCTCCCCTAGTGTGTTAAGATAAGCTTCTCAATTCCTGGAACATTATACTGGCCAGTAAGAATTTTACAGGTTTCAAAGATATATATTATCTATCTATTAATCGTGAGATGAGTTCCAAAACAACACTCAACGATCTTCCGAATATAAAAGTACACTAAGTACTACAGCATAAATCTATAGCTGTCTTTGACGATAAGCTTTGAATCGTGATTAGTATATACCCTAAGCAATTATTATTTCCTTGGGAATCAGACCTTTTAAGTTTTTCATACTTCATGAACAAGTTTCAATTACGATGTTAGCGAATTTTGCGGTCACGAAAAGACAAGTAAAGTTGTGATTATTTGCGCTGAATAGTGGTAGTGTGTGTGGAGTGTAGTATGGATTTAATTTCCGCGCTTAGACTCTGATTTGGTCCGTTGTGTGCAAAATCCTATTTACCTGTCTAGCTCCGTCCAGAAGTTTAGAAGTTGCTTGAGCATTTCGCAGGTTTCACGGAGCAGCCTCTCTGTTTCGAGGATTTCTGTTCGTTGGGAAGCCACAGCTACGTGACTGATTGACTGTGACTGGTGACTGATTCCTCTGCGCTGTAAAAGAGATGTTGACTTTATTGTCTATCATTATTTGCGACAAACATTAGAAGTTTATCACACATTAGAAATCTTGGCTTAGTAGTTAAGGAGTAGAAAGTATAACCCGATAGTTATGAGTTCGATAGCTGCACTTAATAATTGTTTTGTATTGGCAGGCACAGAAGGTTTCTAGAAAGCCTTGATATAAAGACTCAATGTTATTTTTAAAAAAATACCAAATATTCTAAATGTTCTGAGAAAATTTCACAGACATCTTGACCAAAAATTGTCTCGTTATTTATATAATGCATTTACACATTTAAACTGAAGTCTGTGTCGTTATAATTAATAGACGTATAACAATACAATGTCTAACAGTTTCGCTGCAGCCGTGCAATCGCGTGTTTTACTCGTCAATTATTAGTACCTCTTGCTAAGAAGGTTTTTTCCGATTTTCATATTAACCCTCAGATTTAGAGCATGAGATATATAAAAAGTACAGGGAAAGAAGGATCAAAGTCAGTATTATTACAGTAAACTTAACGAATGAGATTCATAAAAGTTTACAATGGATGAAGGAAAAAAATGACCTATGGACACTGGACCTGATCTTTTTTGACCTAATGACAATTAAATAGACGTTTTTTTTAGGTTAAAAAAACATTCAATAGTGTGTTTTATAATATGAATAATTGGCCTACATGCCAATAATATTTTTCTTGACTTTTCTCTCCCTATACTCTTAATATGTATTGCGTTTGACATATCGTTACACTAATTCGTGCTTTAAAACATTACATTTTAATTTCTTTCAAGGTAAAAACGTAGAAAGGTCCATTAATTTATTTATCCAAGTCCGACACGACTTAGGGTGGAGAGCCGCTGTACTACTAAAAATATGTTGCTTTAAAACGGCTAAGGATATTTCATAGATTAAAACCTCAGCGCTATAATTGCCATTTGATTTACCCTGTCTTAGCAGAACCATAGAGCTTCCGGGGTTATCACGTCAAATAATATTTACGGGATACGAGACTGGTATCGTAAATCGTTCAAGTTAGTTAGTAGTTAGTAAGATTTATAAAATTTGTTATAAATAAGTCTATATTTAATGTACGTTTGACGTCTTTTTGTCATAAATAAATAAATAAGATCTATACTAAAATAGACTGACCATTCCGTTAATAAAACATAAAGCAGTAATATTAAGAAGTATTATTTTGACAAATTCAAAATGTATTAATTTCGGTAACACAATGTACATTTATCAACGTCAATAATGAAATACATATTAAATGCTTCTAATTTTACATTTACTGCAAGTTTTCAAATCAAGCGCGTTAAGTTATATTATAACAGTGCTTGTAATTAAACGCGACGCCTGCGCAGCTGCGGGTTAAAAAGTAAAATTGCTAGGTATGAGAATATTTTGTTCTAGTCTGTCACAAAGTGGACCGAATACTACTGGTATTTTAAATTTTAGTCAAATGTTTCTCTTTAAATGTTTTTGCAAGGTAAGGCTTTGTTCTAGTTATATTCAACATATAAAAAAACACGTTAATTGTAACCAAATTCCTCCGAAACGGCTAGACCGATTTTTATGAATTATTTGTGTATTATCGGTAGGTCTGAGAATAGGTAGTAAACAATTTTAGCCTTTATAATATATATAAAACCATGAATTTTCATTCTTCTACTACCAACCCCCATTTTTGAACCGATATTTATTAGTATTTTAGAAATCTTGCGCCCCTAAATAACAAATTTTAAATGTTAAAAAGATTCCAATGTAGTCTACAATTTTAGACCGTTACTAGGCACAGATGATATTTTTTAAATTTAGAATTATAATTGTTTTTGAATTAAGAACTACAATTATATTTAAATTTGGTATTTCAATTGTTCTTAAATTTCAAAGTACAATTATCTTTAAACTCGGGATTTCAAAGGTTTTTAATTAAGAATAACTTATTGTTATCATTACTTATACCATACCATTGTCTTCGATAAATTTTCCGTTTACGCTTCAAAAAAAGAAAATTACCAGCATGACCTGTATGTATGTTATGGCGCTTCTAAACGGGCCATGTTTTGCTGCAATTGATGGCTGCACTGTTGGCAACAAATTGTCCGGCCATTAGAAATATATTTTAATGCAGCTGATGGCCGAACATCCGGCAACAATGGCTGACGAAATCACACTTGTCGCAGCAGCTTATATTGTTTTAAAAAAGAAACAGAAAAAGAAGAGATTGTGGATTCGACCTTACTTAAATAGGCGTGAAACTGTAGACAATTTGAGTCTAGAAATAAGTCATGATAATAAATTATTCAAGAACTAGAATGTCAAAAGCAGTCATTTTTACGTAGTAATCTAACGTCAAATACAGCTGATCGCAAAACACAGAATATAGCAACAGGCACACTTCACTCATAGCAAACGTCATTTCGCGTAGAAAAGGATACACTGTGCCATAACAAAGAGAGTGACTGAAACAACAATAGAACTGGCTGTGCAATATTGCAGTTGAATTCGATAGCCTAGCGATCGTCCGGCAACCCATCGGGGCAACATCGGCCATATGTGGCTATACAAAACATGTTTGGCTATATGGCGGGACATTACTGCAATATTGCATAGTGTGGCTGCTATTGTTTGCAATGTTGCCGGGCCACAGTGTTGCAGCCATCAATTGCAGTAAAACAAGGCCCGTTTAGAAGCGCCATAATATATATATATATTTATCTCTCTCTTTTTCCCAAGCACTTGTGTTAAATTTCGTACGTGTATGACGTACTTATGTGTTTTATAGGTATACAACAGGGATCAGTCTAAGTTTCAGTCAAAATCGGTTGAGTAGTATTTGAGATATTGTATAACATGTCTTTGACAGGTATACGAGTCAGTTAAAATTGATTTTGATTTAAATAAATGACAACCAATTGTGTGAGAAATATTACTTTGTGTATTATCTATCTCAAGGTCAAGCGATTATTCTTTGTATTACTAATTGACTAATATTTGAGTTTTCCAAAAAAACTTGACCTGGCCGGAGGTTGTACTGGAATTTCCCAATCGACGTTATTTTGTTCATAGAATAATTTGTCAGGACTGGCTTCGAGCAACAGGATATTTATTTTATTAATTATGTAATAGTTAGCCTTTTTTATATGTAATGTAATAGTGAATCTTTTACACAATGAAAGCCGGGAAAATAAAAACACAATACATGATATAAAATAATGATTTACTATGTAAATAAAAAGTATCGCATTACAGCGAGGAAATGATGCCAGAGTTGAAGGTACACTGCCACGGGGACAAAACTTTTTAAATTTCTTTAAATTTTATTTTTATTATTACTATGTTGGTTGATAAAATTGTAAATACTGTATATTTCATTGTTATGATTACTAATAAAGATATTTACTACGTTACTTAAATGTTTGTGTAATATACGATATACCACAACAAGTGAAAGTAATAAAACATTCTTATTAAAGAGTCGTGGTTATAATTTACAATGAACAAACTTAACGTTTAGTTTGTGGACTGGGTAGTTCTTTTCCCCTAACCTAAACCTGAACAGGGCTCAGTCGAACCACTGACTTCATTCTTGATTAAGAGAAATAGCTAACATTAGATTAGCTTATAGCTAACATTATATTAGCTTATAGCTAACATTATATTAGCTTATAGCTAACATTAGATTAGCTTATAGCTAACATTAGATTAGCTTATAGCTAACATTAGATTAGCTTATAGCTAACATTAGATTAGCTTATAGCTAACATTAGATTAGCTTATAGGTAACATTAGATTAGCTTATAGCTAACATTAGATTAGCTTATAGCTAACATTAGATTAGCTTATAGCTAACATTAGATTAGCTTATAGCTAACATTAGATTAGCTTATAGCTAACATTAGATTAGCTTATAGCTAACATTAGATTAGCTTATAGCTAACATTAGATTAGCTTATAGCTAACATTAGATTAGCTTATAGCTAACATTAGATTAGCTTATAAGAAGTCACTTGACACTTTCTTGTTTCTGAATTATACACTAGGCTCACACCCCAGTGGCTGGTCTGAAGATATTGAAGTCATCGTATTAGTTGCGACGCTACAAGAATATAATCTTTGCAAGAACTACCGAAGTAATTATTATAACAATTTCCGTTTCAGGGTCTTACCTTCGCAGCATGGCACCAACGGACGAAATTGGAGAAAGTATTGCTCGTCACATGCTGTGCACTGATGCTGATGGTGGTACTTACCACTACACTGTTGGTCAGCCTGGAAACCACACCAACAGAACCTGCTGAAAACACCGAAGGTAGGGTTCTTTCTACTTTTATCTCTTATAGCGAGTTTGATTAAACGAAATTTTGTTTTAGTTTTGAAACGGAATTATTTATAGTAAAAGCTATGAGAAAAGATTGTTCAATTTTATAAAGTGAAAGTTCTTTAGGCGCACTAGGGTAACATTTTTACGGATGAAACGCAATAATAATAATAATATTAACGTCACGAAGATTTGAAGCGTTTTTGTCGAAGAAAAGGGAGAGACCGATTAAGAGAGAGTGAGAATGGCGAATTACATTATAGGAGGTCTATTTTTAAAATTAAAATTTCGTAAAGAGAATTATTAGTAGAGAAATATTGGTATTTTATATTTCATGCAAAATAATTTATTGAAATCTCAAATGACGAATTGTTATTTAAAATGCCACGTGTTTTTATTATCGAAGAAATAAATTTAAAAAAAAATAGTTTTACAATTTGTATTAATTTTCGAGATTTTTAATATTTTAATGACAATTAAATTCATAAAATTCCTAACATAACTGCCTTTTTCCCTCCCTATAAGTCTTGGAAATCTAAAGTTTAAGATTTGTATAAATATGAACAAGACTTAAAAATTAGTTTGCCAAAGAAGTTTCACTTCTGACATGTGTACTTTGTACGCACGCACTTTTTTTACATAATTAAAGACTTTGAAAAGGTTACATTTTTAAATAGAACAAGGGGCAAACGGGCAGGAGGCTCACCTGATGTTAAGTGAAACCGCCGCTCATGGACACTGCCAGAGGGCTAGCGAGTGCGTTGCGGGGCTTTTAAGAAACACAAAGACTTACATACGAAGAGGTTCTTGATTCCTACAGCTTACGTTAAGTTTAAACTATTATTATTTATCAAACAAAAATATAAACGTTACAAAATGTATATATAATTATTCTATAATAACATACTAACATTGTGGGTGTAATAATAATCAAATAATTATTATTACACTTACACTGTTGGTATAAAAATATACGACACATTCCCGCCCGCCCTAAACGTAACACCATCGACCAGACGGTGACATTGACCTTCGACACATGCCGCCTGTCGTCTCAATGTTATTGATTTGAATTTGCTACGTATTCTTTATACCTTCATGGCGTGACACGTGGTTATAAAGCTTTCGCCATCTGTTTTTCTTCAATCTCGTCGTTTTCGTCGACAATTTTTGGTTTTAAACTTTACGAGCAAGTGTCTCATAAAAATTAAATAATCCCTTTGCTGTACAGACGGTGTTTGAACACACGACCCCAGGCTTTAAATACTCCCTTTGCTGTACAGACGGGGTTTGAACACACGACCCCATGCTTAAAAGTCGCACGCTCTTAGTATATTTATTATTCAATTTATTTATTAACACTTAATTGCATTACAATAGAAAAAATGAACATAATTAAATGAAAATATTGGATTCCATACGATTTTCTAACTCTCTAACATCTTTTAAAACTCTTCTACATAAATATTTCTTACACATATCCTATTCTGCTCAAACTTTGTGGAACCAGCTGCCCACTGAAGTATTTCCGAACCAATTCGACTTAGGGTCCTTTAAGAAAAGAGCGTACTAAGTCTTAAAAGGTAGGCATCGCACTCGCGAGCCCTCTGGCATTGAGAGTGTCCATGGGTCGCGGTATCACTTAACATCAGCCTCCTGCCCGTTTGAAGTTATTATTGTTTTGTGCATATACTTTCAAGATTGACATATAATATTATTTTATATTAACCGGATGTAATTGTGTATGTTATGATTACAGTCTCGGTAATACGATGTAATTATTATATAAGCAAAGATCAAAGGCGCGTAGAATTATGTACATCATCGTGTTTCATCGTAGTTTATTTGAATCTGTATATAAATAATTAATAAAGCTTTAACATTAGATTAACATTTATTTTAACATAGAAATTACAGATATTTTTGATTATATATTATATTCGTAATGTATTTTAAATAATATCATTATTAAACGAATTTTAATACTACATTAGCGGTTTTAGCGTGCGAATCTTATCCCTGAGCTTCCTGAGTTTCTCCTGGAAACTCAGGAAACTCAGGAACACTCGCTTGAGGAACATGACACACGATACCTCATGATACCTCATGACATGAGGTAAATGCAATAGACCCGAAAAGTCAACGGCGTGTGTCAGGGGTAAATCACCTCAAACTCAAACTCAAAATATCTTTATTCAAGTAGGTAACCAAGTACACTTTTGAATCGTCAAGTTAAATTAATCGTAAATTTACATTTACTACCAGTTCGCAAGTCAAGGGCGTAGAGCGGGTAAGAAGAACTGGCAAGAAACTTTCCGCCACTCTTTTTAATCGCCAAGTATTGTCATACAAATTGTTTGAACTGGAGCAATTCAATCCCAAGGATTAGGATCATTTAAGTAGTCCTCAAATTTATAAAAAGCTTTGTTGATTAATTTTCGTTTAACGAGGGCTTTGAATTTATTTAGTGATAATTCTCTAATTTCGCTTGGGAGCTTGTTGTAAAAACGAATACAATTTCCATATAAGGAGTGGTTTATCTTTTGGAGCCTGGTTGGTCGTACACTCAAATTAGTTCTATTTCGCGTATTATACTGGTGAAAGTCACCATTTGTTTTAAAATCGTTTATATTTTTATTGGCCTAATTGCCTATTAGAAAAACAAATGATTACGAAACACACACAGAAATTGTACTTACTTACTATGGCGTATTAAGCATAGAACCAACTAAATTACTAAAAATGATTACACTTATTTTAAAAAGTAAAAACTGATCTGTCATCTGTATTAACGCTACAGAACGAATTTTGACAGATAAAACAGTTTATATTCTCAGGAATGTCTCCAATTCGTTTGATCTATATGGGAATGCTATAAATTTTAATCTAGAAACTTAGGAATTTTATTTGCCCCAGCCTTGTGACGTTTGAGAAGGGTTACCTTAATAACGGTGACATTCAGGTAAACACTGTCTCAGACAAATCGCAGAAATAAATAAGAAATTCAATCCGTTCTAAAAATGTATTAGAAAAATTAAAAAACACTAGGTTTATTTATTTGAAAGTTCGTTTAATATACTTTTTGTGTAGGACATTAGAAGGGAACTGAAATACAATGAACCTATGGCAAAAGCATTAAGCTTTTTAAAAGTAGGAGGGTCTATTCTTATTTATTTATTTTATGTTCACCACATGATATATACAAGAGCAGTGTTAGCCAAGTGGGTTCAGCGTGCGACTCTCATACCTGAGGTCGTAGGTTCGATCCCCGGCTGTGCACCTATGGACTTTCTTTGTATGTGCGCATTTAACATTTGCTCGAATATGTCTTAGACCCAAAAAGTCGACGGCGTCTGTCAGGCACTAGAGGCTGATCACCTACTTGCCTATTAGATTTAAAAATGATCATGAAATAGATTCAGAAATCAGAGGCCAAGTCTGTTATATTCGCGAAGAATTCGAATGAGAGGTGCCTGAACTCCTAGGTTACTTTTAGCTTTTTTAATGTGATACGATATATCCATAATAGAGCCACCGATGTGCAAGTGCCTTCAAATCTTGGTAACTTTTTATTGGCTGATGCTTATCTATTTATGTCTTTCTAGAACAGGGGAAACTAACTAACTAACTTAACTTAACTTAAGTTAACTTTTTACATTAAGTCATGGTGTGCTCAAACACATTCACACTGGCAGAAGCAAGTGCACTACCGGCGTTTTTAAAATCGTTAGGCTTTTTTAAGGACCTTGATGTTGAAGTTGATCTTACCTTTCATTTTCAGATCACACCCTGTGCCTGTCTGGCACCTGTATCTACACTGCTAGCGAGGTCATAAAAGGTCTCGATGAAACAATAAACCCGTGTGAAGACTTCTATGAGTTCGCATGTGGGGGCTGGATCAAGAACAACCCCATTCCAGAAGGAAAGTCGAATTGGGGGATATTCAGCCAGATTGAACTTCAGAACCAGCTGATTATAAAGACCGCTATGGGTATGTTAGTTGTGGTCTACCATTTTTTATTTATTTACAGCCTGAATTTAAAAAAAAAATATTATTTAAAGTTGTAAAATAAAACTTTATATTAAGAATAACTTTATACAGTTAGCACTTGGTATAAATTAATTTTGAATTTTATCTAAATGCGTTTTCGATAAATCTATGAAGCTACGATAGCAAGTGGGGAATGTAAGCTTTGCTTGAACGTGAGATATCACCAAGTTGAACCCATATGTTAGAATTAGACTCGCAATAAAATATAACGTGTACCTATTTATGGTATCACTGACGCCATCTATCGGCGTATAGGGGAAGGTGGGGACCCTTCGTACGGTTTTCACATTTTATTTTTTAATTTTTTAATTTTTCCATGAATCAATCACCTGATAGCTTAAATTTATAGTCTAACTATCTGAGATTCAAATAAAAAAATGACAAATGATTTCATCCGATGTTTCAACCATAATTATGATTTAAACTAAATCTGGAAAACGTACGAATCTGCCCCATCAACGGGGCACCTTCGTACAGTGTTTGGGGTACCTTCTTACGCTGTGGGGTAGTTCAAAATTCATTTATTAGCAATGAAATTAAACACAAAAATAAAGATTTAATTTCTATTAAACAAAAATAAAATACTTTTTATTATTAAAACAAAATTTAATTAGTTAGGTATCTTAAATTTAGAATTACATTTTTTACTCTTTGGTGTGGATTACAACTTCTTATTTTCGGGTGTGGCAGTATAAATTCGTGGTTTTCCTGGCCGTCATCGTCATTTTGCTTGTTTTATTACTTCTTACAGAATGCGAATAGGGTCGAAATGCCTCTGGTGTCAAAACTGACTTCGAAGGAACTACTATTTGATGGATTGGTAAATTATTCACAGCATCTGGTTCACAAGCATCAAAATCAACCTTAGTCAAGATGCCTTAACAGTAGTGTAATATGTAGAAAGTCGAAAACTTAATTTGAATGAAAAAGACAGTTCGCGTCGACAAATTATTATACAAATTTAGTTGTACAATTCGTACAAATGTGCCCCATCTAGTGCTGTCCGAATGTACCCCACTAACTGAATAACAACAAAATATAACTTATTTTAATATTAATAGGAAAACGTCATAAATTAAGTATTGGAGACGTATCTTAAGTATATTTTGCTAGTTACTGATAGAATACTCTACACGAAAACTTATTTTATCTAGGGTAACAAGAGATAAAAACATAGATCAAAAAATTACTTACCGAGCGCGAAAACACGTCTATGCCTGTAACTTCACTCTCATCGGTGCGAATTTCACGAAACTTCGTTGATGTATAGTTGGTACCTCGACTCATGCACACATACAAAAGCAAGACTGTACTTTATTTCGTTCAAGTTTTATTTTGACTGTATGAATGTGCCCCGCGTACGAAGGGTAACGATCTTCCCCTATATCTTATTACTATAAAAGCGATTTGACAGTATGAAAAATAACACTTTATTTTCCATATTGATTATAATCCGTCTAAAACGTGATTTCAAAAAGTGATATGAAGTATAATAACTTGTAAATAATCATTAATTAATAAGAAAACTATAAATTCATAATTAAAAGTATCGTTTTTTATACGTCAGTCACTTGACAGTTGACACAAAACTGTCACAGATAAGTTTAAGCGACGATGATGTAGCATGTAAATAATAATATGTCTTCGCTTGTCTAATCCTAATATAGTATTGATTTTTAATTTCGAGACTGTTTTTGATCAAATATGATATTATTTGTATAAATGATAAGTAACACGCAAAAAACTTATAGTTTGTTTTCGTGTTTATATGCATGGTAGCGTCATAGGGACTGGTGGTGCGACGCCATCTTGCGTTATGGCGGGTACTTGTAATTATGAATTATATATTTTTATCAATTTGTGTTTATCAAATGGTTACACTATTTATAATTTACTTTTAAAATAGGGTTTTTTCAACTCGGAATATGATATACTACAAACAAGTTTCCTTTGAATTTTCATGGTCCCCATTCCTTATCGACGTAATTACGCTATCGCTAAATTAATGTGTATGAAACTGACAGCTCACCCATGTCACGTGACCATTTTCATACATTTTTTTTGTCTGTTTATGACCTTGTATTCTCGGAAGCGATTTGAACGGAAATTTTCTGAAACTTGTTTTGTTCAGATTTTCGTAATCAGATTAGTGTTTTCTCGCAAATTCGAACGCCACACGACAGTTGGTTTTGTTAGGACAATATATTTGTATCTTTTGGGAGTATTAACACGAGTTGAACTTGATAATGAAAAACAAATTGCAAACGTCACTTATTTCATGACGGCGGTAATTTATGTTTAAATATGATTTAGTACAGCACTGCTAATTTGAAACTATAATAGCAGCACTTGCTGTATTATGCACGTGAGTAGAAATCTCGAGTAGGTACTTTATACAGAACACAATTATAATAATGTATTAAATTTTTTACAATAATAATTTTAAATCACAACTTTTTTGGATGAATTTTAAAACGTGGTTTCACCTGATGGTAAGTAATACCGCCGCCCATGGACACTCAATGCCAGAGAGCTCGCGAGTACGTTGCCGGTTTTGTTTTTTTTTTAAGTTCCTGATCTGTGGTGTAGCCTTTCAGGCACCAAGGTTAAACCCCTTAGTGTTTTTTTGTGTATTTTGTACATTTACCTTATTTATAATGTTAATGAATTTGTACTAATTATAAATATTATTATATTTGGAAAGTAAAGGATATTTTATACACGATTTTAAGTGTACAGTTACTCAGGTCTACTGTTACAGAGACCAGTCTCTCACATACACTTCCTAATGTTATCATCTAAGTTTAATCATATTAACCATGTATGTATATATGAGAGAAGAAATAAAGATTATTATTATTATTATTATTGAATAATCCCTGTGGTTACGAGAGCTTATAAAGTACAAACCAATTACAGTATAAATGTATTGCAGGGAAAGTGGATACCAGTGACGGCGGTGCCGAAGCCAAAGCTCGGGTTTACTACGACGCCTGTGTTGATACAAATGAGACGATTGAGAAACTTGGTGAAAAACCGCTGATTGGTATAATAAAGAGACTGGGAGGCTGGCATATTCTACCCAACACACTTGTGAAAACACAGAAATGGGACCTGCAGAAACTCCTTCAGGATGTTCAGAATAAGTAAGTCTAATTTAGTACCATTATTAAATTTTTTTCAACGTTTATTACTAACAAAGCACACCCACAGAAACACACAAAATAACAATAATCAAAGAAGAAAAAAAATGAGAGATAACATTTTTTTTCTTTCTTTCTTCTAGGATAGAATAAAGGTAATGCGTGTGTGCTGAATTAAAAAAAAAGAGAATATGAAGAAGTTCACACCAGCATTATCATCATATATAATGTGTCTTTTTTTTGTTCGATCTACTCTGCTATAGTGCCTTTTTTCCATCCGTTACATTTTCTTGTGTGTACAATCATGCGCGTCTCGCGAGGTTCACCTACAATATTCAATATTGGTGTTAATTTCAATTATATCATCACAACTAACTTTATCGTTGGATTTGGTAAATTTAAGAATTTTTTAATTTGCCCTATGAGTTTTCACCCTTCTGCAACTTATGACCACTCTCTGTGTTGTTGTTCATCAGAAATACATTAATAAAACAATTTTTAGACAGGACTTGTTTTTAAATGGATACATCATTTTCTTCGTAAAAACTGGTGTCTGTTATCTCATTGTTATTAATTAATTGAATTTCAGATACAATTTGGGAGGTCTATTCAACTGGGCAGTGACGGAAGATGATAGAAATTCAACCAAACATGTGATTGTGGTAGGAAACTTTAATTAAAACAGACTATTATAAATTTACGAAACAATAAAACAGTTCCAAAAAACGCGATCTCGTCCTCGGACGAATCACCTGGCGTAGGGCTGAGTCTCAACAGATCACAGCACGACGCTGCTCTACCGAGCACAACACCCCGCCAGTGTATATGTATCAATTCAAAATTCCATCAACATCACCTTGATGGCTGTAAGTCTACCACAGTCTGTTTCACAAGACACTTTCTTTTGCGAACTAGCAAACCGTGGAATCGACTCCCGGTGGAGGTTTGCCCTGAGAGATACGAACACCAACTATTCAATGTTAGTTTACTCCTCCCTCAAAGGCCGGCAACGCACCCACTAAAAATCTATGGCTGTCAATGACTGCCCTTTTTGGCCGTCCCATAGACTCGTTTGTACCCCTATTATAATTTAAAAAATGGATTTTCCGTAGCGATTGCTAAATAGTTTTAATAGAACGGGGAGCATATTGCCACAAGCCGGCTGATGACAGGGGCCTTGAACAACCAGTTTACGACAGTTTTCTTCAAGTATATATTTATGTGATAATGACCGTACTTGGCAGGTCGTATACACTATACATCATAATATCTTAATATATATAAATTACGCGTCACGTTGTTTGTCCGCTATGGACTCCTAAACTACTTAACCAATTTCAATCAAATTTGCACACCGTATGCTGTTTGATCTAACTTAAAAGATGGGATAGCTTACATCTTAATTTATACCCGCAATATTATTTAAATGCAAATTATTTGTTTATTATTTGACAGTCACAATTCCAACAGATGGCGCTGTGTTGAAAGTACGCTTCACATAAGCTACAATTTAATGGCATAACCACTAAAAAAGCATGGTGGTCCCCATGACTGGTGTTCTACCGCTTCCCTTAAATAGTTTACTACTATGTAATATAACAGAAACCTTAGGCACAGCAACGCTTGGCCGAGTCTGCTAGTATTATTTAAAATTTGTATAATTGTATTACACGAACTCCATTCGAACGACATTAGTTCCGTGTAGATCCAAGTACTCCTTAAACTTGCTGAAGTCCTCCAAAAAAAACATTTTGTTCTCATAGCTGTATATACGAGTATATAGCTATTTTAAAATAATAGTAATAAATTTTTGAATGGATGACTTCTGTAGTTATAGTTGGTAAGTCCAATGAATTATTCCGACAATTAAAAACTCAGCGGCGCTACAACATTTTTAGGTCTGGGCCTCAGATTCCTTTATCCGTCATGATCATTAGCAATCTAATGGTCAAGTAGGTCAGCCTTTAGGTCTAAGGCATGTTTTCCTCACGATGTTGACCTTCAACATTCGAGCCAATGTTAAATGTGCACATCGAAAGAAAGTCTATTGGTGCCAGGGATCGAACCTACGACCTTAGGGATGAGAGTCCCACGCTGAAGCTACTAGGCCAACACTGCTCTTCAACAGTTAACATTTGCAAAAAGTTTTTACTGTATTGTCATTTCCAGCTTGATCAAGGCGGCCTTAATCTTCCTACACGCGACAATTACCTCAACAAAACTGCGCATAAAAAGGTGTTAGACGCATACTTAGACTACATGACTCGAATAACCGTACTCCTCGGCGCCAACAAGACAGATGCCCGTGCGCAGATGAGCAAAGTTATTCAGTTTGAGACCGAATTAGCTAATATAACTACTCCATCTGAGGATAGAAGAGATGAAGAAGGATTATACAATCCATATACCATCAGACAGTGGCAGAAGGAGGCGCCATTTTTAAATTGGAGTATGTTCTTTAATGACGCGTTTAAGTTGGTTAATAGGACGGTAAGTTTTCGCTTGCGTATGAGATAACATTTATTATTAAATTACCAATATTTTGCAGTTGCAATTCATTATTACAAGATATTTTATCTAATATTGCTTTTTCAGATCTATGACGACGAGAGAATTGTGGTGTATGCTCCCGAGTACTTTAGGAATTTAACCAGAGTTCTTAGAAAATTTAGTAAATCCGAAGAGGACCAAAGGTATGTTCCTGTTTTATCCGTATCTATCTATAAAATATATGTGTGTGTAAATTTCAAAAACATAGAAATTAAGATAAATTATCTGTATCTAGTCTTTATGAAGCGTAGCATAGCACTGTATATTTTACTAATGTATCATAATTCCGGTTTAGCCTACTCCTTAGAATTTCGTGTGATTCTCAACTTTGAGTTTAAATCCTCGTTATGCACGAATAGATTATAGAGGACCCATGGCTAAGGTCTATAAAGATAAACAATAAAACAGCCACATACATGTGTCTTCCTAAGGGCCAATTGTAATATACGAGACGTAATACATATTAATTTCAGAACTTTAACGAGTTATATGATGTGGCAAGTGTCGCGGTCCCTATCAAGCTACTTATCGAAGCCCTTTCGTGACGCATCCAAGATATTGAGGAAGGCTTTACTTGGCTCTGAAGGCACTGAGGAATCCTGGCGATACTGTGTTACGGATACCAATAATGCTATAGGTACAATGAATACCGCGTAATTTTTATATACTTATTTTGACACCTCATCAAAATTGTAATGGCGGGCATAATCTATTTTTTAGAATTAACAACTGAACAATTGCTTAAGTTTTATTATTATATTGACAATAGAAGGTTACAATTATGAGGTACAATTTAATTGCACTAAGAAAGCAATCTGAATATAATAAACTGAATGAATTTCTGTTCTACTAATTGAATTAACCGGCATTCTACATTGCGTCAGTGAAGTGAATGAAGTTAAAGTTAAAAGTGACAGATGTCAAATGTCATCTATCAAATTTGCCCTACTGTAATTTGAATAATAAGTACTACAGATAATCTGTTCAACTAACAAATTATAATGTTATGAAATTAGCTCGAATGTAGTTACATCTAGTATCCGGTTTCACGACAAAAATTTTAAGTGTTGAACTGTTTTAATTAGATTCTTTAAAATTGCAGGGTTTGCTGTAGGTGCAATGTTCGTTCGCGAAGTATTTCACGTGGCAGCCAAGGTGGAGGGTGAAATTATGATAGACAACATTCGAGCTGCATTTAAGAAAAATCTTAAGAAATTGGATTGGATGGACTCGGAAACTAGGGATGCTGCTCAGAGTAAAGCCGACGCTATTACGGATATGATAGGTGAGCATGTATTTTTTTAATTATTATTGCAGCGTTTTTGTCGAAGAAAAGGGGGAGAGTGATTGAGACTGATTGAGAGAGAGTGAGAAAGGGTGAACGTAGCAATATACGAAATTCTATTTTTTAAATTAAAATTTCGCAAAGAGAATTTATGAAATATTAGTATTTTATATTTATGTATTTTTTAATATTTTATTCGTCATTTGAGATTTCAATAAATTATTTTGCATAAAATATCTATATATATAAAAGAAAGTCGTGTTTGTTACAACACTTATAACTCGAGAACGGCTGGACCGATTGCCATGGTTTTTGATTTGTTGGATTTGTTTCCGTCCCGAATAGCAGAATAAGCAATAAAATATCGGATAAGTTATTGAATAACAATAAATTAATTAATTAATTTTACGAATGCAAAAACCATATGGTGCCATCTGTTGACAAAACTACGCATCATTTTACGTCGAATTCGTGTCAGTTCAAGAAATTCCGATCTTGAGGTGAATGAGGAGATGCATAACCATGCTTTGATCCTGATCAAAAGATGTTGGATATCAGAAAGTGCTTAAAATGCAGTATCGCCATATTGACGCTAGAGAGAAGATGCCTAATGTGTAAAACTGCCATTCTTCTTCCGCAATGGCAAGCAATAAAACATTTCTGTATTTGCAAAAAAGTTGTATTAATGTAATACTTAACATTAATGAAATCCTAAAATAAGTTAAAGTAACAACGATATTATAAGGTTGTAGGGCGGAACGAAGTTAGCCAGGTCAGCTAGTTATATATAAATATAGGTATACAAATACATGGAGTGATCATGTACTGGTACATGGTCATCTATTGGGGCTTTTACCTTAGTAATAATTAATTTACAAAGAAGTTTCACTTCTGACATGTGTACTTTGTACGCACTTTAAATACGGAAGATATTTCTTTGCAGGATTTCCTGACTACATACTTGATAAGGGTGAACTAGATAAGCAATATGAAGACCTAGTCGTAAAACCGAACGAATATTTTGAGAATAACATTGCATTTAATACATACTCACTCAAACATGACCTACAGAAACTTGATCTGCCAGTAAATAAGACTTATTGGGGTAAGTTCTTCTCTTTCTCGTCTCTCACTCTTGTAGTTCTATACGGAAAGAGAATCGGCGTGGTAGTTATGAACTAATACGATACTTACAAAATATACCTTTTTTCATATTTATTTCATATCGAGATGATTACCGTAATAGTGTTGTCAACATAACTAAATTATTATTTTTTTACTTTGTACCTAAGCTTGATTTTCTTTGAAGTGAAACTTCAAATGCGACTTCCGACAAGGTTGCTTTAAAGTTTAAACGTTTAACGCGCCTGGAGAGTAGACCAGGGTAGAAGCCTTTAAAAATAATAAAAAAATAATAGAAGTATGAAACGAAACCCATTAGGAAAGGAGGTGAATATTATAAAAATTAAAGGAAAAATAATTCACGGGCGATCTGAGGTCGGGAAGGGGAAGGGGGTGTGGGTAAAAACGGTTTATCTCGATTACCGGCACAACTAAAAGTCCTATGGAAAAAAGTCAAATGGCAAAGTTGTCAATACGCTAATATTACGAATTTTAGAGGGTAAAAATTAAATAATTGCACACCCTCATACTCAATAGATTTCTTTGAAAAATTTGTGCGCGGCTTCGGCAAGATAAGATCTAATGTTTCGTCTTTCGTATTAAATTCTCTCTTCAATGGTTTTGGCTCTAATCATTAGACAATATATATGTTTACTGTTTTCTATTTTTTAATTTCTTGTAGGCATGACTCCATCCACAGTAAACGCATATTACACTCCTACGAAGAATCAAATAGTGTTTCCAGCGGGCATCTTGCAAGCACCGTTTTATGATGAAAATAATCCTAAGTGCGTCAACTATGGCGCTATGGGCGTGGTCATGGGACATGAACTGACACATGCCTTTGATGACCAGGGACGGGAATATGACAGGTTGGCCTAACTTCGAATTTTGACTATAACCGCTTTATTACACTATAAGAATTTAACAGTTACCATACATATAATTGTAATTAAAAAAAAAAATACTAAATTTGTTATTGAAGAGCTGGGAACCCTGATAGGTATTTTTACTTAAAAGGGTTGCTAAATCTTACATTGTGCATTGTTTGAATTAATAAACACATTTTTATTTTTATACAGAAATTTCGTAAGATACATTCAAATAAAATTAAATGCAAAGAACGTGGCATTAGTTTAATTCGTTAACTCAATAACTAACACGCAGCTTACAGAATTGCGCCATCGCAACCAAAGCTTTCACTTGCACAAATGCTATGTATCTATATAAAAAATTGTACCAGCGCTGCGCAACGTCATTCTTTATAACCAAAAACGTGAATCTCTCTATTACAGAAAAATTAGTACATTAATTCTTCTATAACGAAATCTCTCTATAACGAATTAAAATTTTCGGTGCTTGAAATTCGTTATAAAGAGTTTACATTGTATTTCTTTTTATTTGAAAAAAAAGACAATGGCAGAAGCCATTCCAAACCTAAAGCAAAAAAAAAAAGGTGCGTGTACTTATGTATGCGCGTAAGAAGTTATACTTCTTTGGTTTTCTTTATTTTTTTTAAATATTAAATAATTAATAATAAATATTTAACGTTAATAATTTAATATTTAGTATATTATTCAATTATTAATTAATAATAATAATTATTAATATTAATTAATAATTATTAATATTAATTAATAATAATAAATATTAATAATTATGATTATTTATTATTTTATTATATTATTCATTCAATTTAATAACTACGTATGTTTCATAACCTTTTAACTAAGTAACAATAGGTCTTTGTGAAAAAGCATTGCTAAATTTCTTTGAAAAAATAATTAAAACTCCTTTATTTGTTTAAAAGGTACTACAAATGTCATAAAATAAAAAATAAAATAAAAAATAAAATATGTTTATTATGGAACATAAGATACATGTATCACTTATTCCACGTCATTAAATTTGAAGGCATCCCTACTCATCGGCAAAGAAGACAGAGGGTGTAGGCCGAGAGAAAAAGCCGGCGTAAAAAACTCTCGGTACTCTTTTAAAACAGCAAATCATCAAACAACACTTATTTAAAACAAATATCGCAAATTGATTAGAAGTAGCCTGTCTAGCACTAGTCCCAGGCCCTTTTATCAACTAGATAATCGTTGACTTTATAGTAAGCCTTTTTACACAGCTTTTCTTTAATACATTTTTTAAATTTATTGAAAGGCAGTGATAAAAGAGCCTCTGGGATTTTATTAAAGAAGAGTATCCCTTTCCCCAAAAAAGAATTACTAACTTTAGATAGTCTAGTACGGGGAAATTGCAGCCTGCGTTTGTTCCGTGTATTAACATTGTGCGTATGTTCTATTCTAGTAAACTTATCACTATTTTTGTATACATACATAATATTTTCATAAATATATTGCGAGGGAAAGGTAAGTATATTAATTTCCTTGAATTTATCTCTAAGAGATTCCCTACATTTTAAATTATAGATTGCACGAATAGCCCTCTTCTGCAGGATGAAAATAGTTTCGACATCAGCAGCATGACCCCATAATAATAAGCCATAAGTCATTAAGCTATGAAAGTAACTAAAATAAACAAGTCTAGCTGTATCGACATCAGTTAGTGAGCGAATTTTTTTAACCGCGTAGGCTGCAGAACTAAGTCTCTTCGCCAATCCGTTAATATGAGGGGACCACTGAAGTTTTGAATCCATGGTGATTCCGAGAAATACAGTTGTATCATCCAGATTCAATTCCTCACCGTTTATAATTGGTCTAGTATCCATAACCCTTGCATTTTTTGCACAAAATTTAATGCATTTTGTCTTTTTTGCATTAAGTAGAAGGTTATTCATACTAAACCAATGGACAATCGAAGACAGAGCATTGTTCACATCGTCAAAATTTGTTATTTGTCGTTTGATTTTAAAAATCAAGGACGTGTCATCAGCAAACAAAACTATCTGATGTTTTCTCTCTACCATGAAAGGTAGATCATTTATATAAACAAGAAAGAGGAAAGGGCCAAGAATTGAGCCCTGTGGTACCCCCATATCTACTGCCGACCCAGAGGACCTCTTACCATTCACTTCAACCTTCTGAGTTCTTCCGTGTAAATAGGAAGTCAGAAGATTCAGTGCGGTATTCTTGATGCCATAGTGGCGGAGTTTCCCGATTAAGGTCTCGTGTTGGACACAATCAAATGCTTTGGATAAGTCGCAGAAAACACCTAAAGCGTCATGCGACTCCTCCCAAGCCTTAACTATATATCTATATAACTCAACACCGGCATCGGCTGTCGAGCGACCCTTGGTAAAACCGAACTGATTATTATGCAATAATTTGTTTACGTTAAAATGACTTACCAGTTGATTTAATATAATTTTTTCAAATATTTTACTACAAGTAGGTAGTACGGAAATTGGTCTAAAGTTACTGGGGTCGGACATACTACCTGCTTTAAATAAAGGAATAACTTTACTATGTTTCATTAGATCGGGAAACTCGCCACTTTTAATACAATTGTTGAAAATTATAGCTAGATGGGGAGCAATTACATCAATTATGCTACTAATTATTTTTACAGAAATACCCCAAAGATCGGTAGTGTTCTTAATATCTATGGTTCTAAATATCCTCACTATATCGTCGGCACCAATGGGTCGGAATGAAAAACTGACCTTGCACTCGTTTACATTATCTTTGAGCAGCGATTCGGCGAGGGCGGGAGATGATTGAAGAGACTTAGTAGTCGAAACTGGAATGTCAGAAAAGTACTTATCAAAAACAATCGCTATCTCTTCGTTAGATTTGATTATAGTGTTATCGACACATAGTTCGATGTCTTGATTGCGATCCCTGACTCTTCCAGTTTCACTATCAATTATCTTCCAAGTCATTTTAGTTTTATTGGTACTATTTTTAATCTTGTTTTTGATATTTAAGGACTTGGCCGCGTAACAAACTTTCTTAAATAATTTCGAATAATTTCGAACATAAAGAATAAATTCTTCATTATGATTGTATGACTTTTCAGCGTAAAGGTCATACAACCGTTGTCTACTTTTATAAATTCCCGCTGTCGCCCAATCACTAAACGATTTACACTGCGAATGAGAGACTTTCTTTGGGGTAAAGATGGTGTTGAACTCTTTATTAATACAATCACTTAGATTGTTGTATTGTGTATCAACGGTAGTACCTACCGGTAATAAAGGTAGGCGTTTACCTATATTATGTCTAAATCTCACCATTCGCTTTTTATTCACTGGAACAAACACACTGCTCTTATTTACTTGTTTCACCACTTTACATTTTAGCGCCACTAACTGTCCACAATGATCTGAGCTAAGATCAGTTGTAATTGAGGTTTGTATTGCCTCTGCATCTGTAAATACATTATCTATACATCGACGTAGGAAAGCATATTTGCTGTAAGTAGACAAAATACCTAAAGTGACTTTTTCCTGCCATTAGAATCAGAAAAAAAAGCCGCATCGAATGACCTGGGTCCTGTGTCTCTACGATGAAAAAAAAATTACATACGCCGTTGAAAACGCCCGTACTTATATTATTTTTAGCAAGATTAAATGCTGTATGTAGACCAAAATCTAGTAATTTCAGACATTTTGCACTTACAGCAAAAGAAAATCTGCATTTTTTTCTTTACAAATACTTACTTCTTCCCATTTAAAAACTTAACGCTACTTACAGCATTTCAGCGGCGTGTGATTTTTACATTCGTTTACTTACAGCAAGTTTAGGGAACCTACAGTTTTGGTTTTTTTTTTACCATTTACGACATTTTATTTCAATCAAACATTACATTACCAAATGACCCACTGCATTTCTAGATCTAATCATAATTATAAACTAATCTTACATCTTGAATTGCAATTAAAAGTACCCAAATACATAAATTTCCTGCATACAGCATATTTACCGCCTGTAAATTGATAATATTTCCGAGCGTACATTTTTCTTCCTTAGTTACAGCGTTTTAAAGGTTTGTGATTTAAAAAACTGTTTGCTGTAACTAGCCAAACACGTACTTATAGTAACTTTGGATAAAAAGTTTACATTGCAAATGGTGACTGGCAGTTAAATAAATATATGTTTCAAAAATGGTAGCAATATCATGGATAGGTCAGACACTATTAATTTTTTTCCGAAATTAATAAAGTTTTTTGGCTCTGGTGAACAATTGCAATATGTCTACTTACAGCAAATGTGCTTTCCTACGTCGACATGTAGCAGTGGAGCTTGTAATTCTAGTGGGCTCAAGAAACAAGTTAACAAGATTGTAAGATTTTAATAACAGATTGAATTTTTTACTAATGGAGGTATTTTCTAATAAATTTATATTGAAGTCACCACATACAATAATATACTTATTGTTCTTAAAACTAACTTTACACAAAATTTCCTCCAACTTTTCTTCAAAAAAATCGTAAGATGCACTTGGTGGTCTGTAAACACTTAAAATAATGCAATTCTCAATCTCTATACAGGCTACTTCCAAAGAGTGTTCTACAGACAGACACACGATGTCATTACGCTCTTTATACTTTAAATTTTTATTAACAATAATCAAAGAGCCCCCATGAATCGCCGACAATCTGCAAAACGAACTTGCAACTTGGTGCTGATCAAAGTTAAAGATGATTTGGCATTCTCTAAGCCAATGTTCGGTAATGCATAGGACATCAATTTTACTTGATTTTAAAAACAACTCCAATTCTAATTCTTTGCCCAACATACCTTGCATGTTTTGATGCATCAAGTTTAAACAGTTGTTGTTAGTAATATAACATGTTTGTGTTGAGCTGAGTTGTAATAAATTATTGCTAGAGTTTGCCTCTATTGTCACACTATCTAATTTAAATTATTTATACTTAATGAAGTGCTACTGCAAGTATCACTACATTCACTTAAGCTAAGCTGCTCAATAGAAGCAGTTGTCTGAAAAGCTAGCTGCTCAATAGAAGCAGTTGTCTGAAAAGCTAAATGTTTAGCTTTAGTTGTAAATAAAAAGTAAGATAGCATAGTAGCTATCTGTTGTAAATAATAATTAGGTAGGCGGAACCTATCCTTTGTCAATACAATACATTACATTATGGTCATTCAAAATTCTTGGCATAGCTGCTAACTTCACGCATATTCTATTTCTTTTTACTTGTAGGTTGTCTTATTCCCATCTCGCTCGCGAACGCTCGGCGCCCGGCTGGTTTAAAAAGAATTCGTTAGTGGGCAACTTCATTCTGTTAATTTTGTGTCACGGTGCGCGCGCATCGTAAAATTTCACTCTCATCAATTTTTCATAACGTGCCTAAAGAAATATAACTTCAAAAACCTTTTTATTCAACTTTGTTTAGGTTTGGAAACCTCAACCAGTGGTGGAACAACAAAACAATCGCGCAGTTTAAAAATCGCGCCACCTGCATACAGAGGCAGTATTCTACTTATCATGCTGAAGGACAGCATCTTAACGGGAAACAAACTTTGGGTATAATATTTATTTATTTTAGTAAAGCACATGGCTCTTTTTTAATAACAGAAATATAATAAATAACAGTAATTTGCTTCAAACATTAGTTTTTATTGTCTACAATTTAAAAAAAACGTGAAAAAAATACAAGTTACTCTTGTCTTTGGTTTACACGAGAACCTACTACACATTTCTATAATCTTCTTAAGTCTCTCTGACCACGATTCCTGAAAAGCGAACGAATTGTCAAGTTATATAAAATCATATTTATAGATATAATTCCCAGACAAACTAATCCGATGTTATTTTTAGGTGAAAATATAGCAGACAACGGCGGATTAAAGGCGTCCTATCACGCATACTTGGAATACAGCAAGAGAGATGCGAGCCAGAATTATACTCTACCCGGCCTCAAATATACCCATAGACAACTTTTTTTCATATCATTTGCACAGGTAAGATGTGTGATGAATCAGCCCACAGACACATTATGATATCACGAATGGGCTGATTTGACTGTCGTCTTTGTGCCGAGAAAGCCGTGGCATGAACGGGTGATCACGTTGCGGGACGTGGTCACAGCTATGCTGTTGCCGTGTCCTGCCTCGAGATTGCTAGTGGTGGGATTAAGTCGGTCATTACAGCGTGGTGCTTGCTAAAAATGTTTATGCTAATTTAATATGTACTTAATAATTATTATAATAATACTAGGTGACCCGGAAAACGTTGTTTTGCCATGTGTATAATTTTTTTAGTTCAATAAAAATAACTATCTACTATAATAAAAAATAGGGGTTGTATGTATTTTTGTGTGCTGTATCATAAAAAAATAAAAATATGTTTTTTGTTTTTTAGATTTTTTTTATTAAATATTCATATTATATTTAAGACACAAGGGAAGTCTACTCCACTTAGGGGTTTGAAAGATAGATAGTAGCCGATTCTCAGACAAACAATTCATAAAAATCGGCCTAGCTGTTTCGGAGGAGTATGGGAACGAACATTGGGACACGAGAATTTTATATATATAGAGATTGTTATTTTCTTAATTGTGTTTCAGTTAGATGTTTACAGTTCAATATTATTATATATATTTCAGGTTTGGTGCTCTGCAATGACAAAGGAGTCTACAAAAATGCAAATTGAAAAAGATGATCATACAGTAGCAAAATATCGAGTTATTGGACCAATATCAAATCTTCCAGAGTTTTCCAAAGAATTCAACTGTCCTTTGGGATCACCCATGAACCCTAAGTATAAGTGTGAAGTATGGTAAGAAAAATTAGTGGTCTAATCTAAGAAATAACTTCACACAGTCAGAACAATTTACAATATTTACAGTATAGGTGTTAATTTCGTTACGATCCATCAAACTTCCGCACATACAGTCATAGACTATGACGTCAGTGACGTTTATGAAATTTGACAGCTGACAATGACAAACTTAGTAAAGAAATGTTCTTTTTTTTAACAGATATGTCACAATTAGTTAAGTCTGTGTGAAAAGGGAGCCGTGCGACTTCTATTTCCGACACTTCCTATTTGGTGCGCGTTCATTTCTTCACAAAAAATATATACTTTAAATTTTATCATATTTAGTATTAAAACTGTGTTGAGAACATAACAAAAGAGGTATTTTAACTGCTGCTACCTCAAATTCCACAACAGTTCTCTTTCCACACAACCAGTTTGCTAATTATTGTCACAATTTGGTCAGCAGATAAGGTTAGCGTTTGATGATAGTGTTAGGATATTTAAATGTACGCCCATTTAAATTAAATCGTAATCGTAATACATAATTAAAACAGCTTCCATGTGATAAGGTTCAATTTTGACCAAATAGGGGCTTTCATATTCATAATATTTATTTAATAGCTTTAAGAATTTTAATATAAGCTAGTTAATAGTTTTAAACATAATCATTGTTTTTACAAATAATTGCTTTGTATGTTGTTTGGTGACAGTGTGCTTACAAATTAGGGTAAGATTTAGGCTATGTTCAGATGGCAAAGATTTGACGCGCGTTTTCAAATCGCGCGACTAGACATTGTGGTATTTTCATACAACTGTTCACATGAGCGCGCGTTAGCGAGCGTCAGCGAGCGTTAACGCGGCGCTCAGAGAAAAAGTCTCTCTTGGATGAACCCAATGTGTACTTTTTCTATATTTTTCTTTATAATATAACCACAAAATAATAGCCTCTTCCACGTCCATTTTCTACGTTCTACCGAACTAGACAGACGAGTACTCTCGCAACGCACAGCGCTCATCATTTGAACTCTCTTCAAATTTGATCGCGCGTTGACGCGCGTTACATGTAAACATAGCCTTAATAAAAGGGTGAGATTCAGAAACGAGACAGCGTGAACTAGGACCCCTGTATGTCAATATGTCATTTTTGACGTAAATGAGTGGTTAACATGACTTGAGTATGAAAAAACGTGTTAAATTTTGACAAACGGAAGCCATAGTACACGTTTGTCTCGATTTTGAATCGTATCCTTATCGACTAGCTGATATAATACTAAACATAATTAATATGAAAGCAAAGAACAAATATATACAGCGACTGATTTATTAAGCTATATAAACGGTACCTAAAATTGAACAACTATCAACATTTTGTGATTAAAAATATTTTATTTATAAATTTTTAACAAGTGCCAAAAATATTCAGAATTTGCAATATTTTATATGAAACGACGCTTTTGATGTATTACCAATGAATTTAATTGTATTATTGTTGTTATTAAGGGAATAAGTACTTATACATAAATTTTTAAGAAAACCCAATTATGGAAATAAAGGAATCGACGATTATAGCATTAACTGGCTTTAGGTCGTTGAATGTGGGTCATAGATAAGAATCAAGCTTTAATCTTGTTTCTATTAAACACATCACACCATTGATAAATTATTTCGAATACAAGATCTGATTGTATGATTTATTTTTCAGTGTGTACACAAATAAGTTAGGTTAGATTTAGAAATGCAGACAAATATGTAATTAATAGTCCAATATACCTCTAAAGATCGTTAGCAAACTAAGCTAATGATTTTATAATCAGATCATTTACTTAGTGATAAAACCTATACAAGTTGTTATTTTAAATTCTGTTAAGTATTGGCTTTAAAACACAAACTAAACAAAGATGGCGTAGCACCATTCTTGTGACGTACCTTACGTACGTTATATGCTTGTAAACATGGGTCAAGTTTTGTAGGTATTAATTATCATTTTGTGATTTCTGTTAAATTACACAAGCACATTATCTTATATTTCGGAAAAACAGTGTCCGACGAAATTAAACTTCAAGAAAGTATTAGGCGGGGACATATTATTTACAAGCATGCTTTGTCAACGTCAATTCGACTAATCCTGACAGTTTAAAAGGAGTTTGGTTCCGTAACTTTAAAGCCATGTTTATACAGATAACTCTCAACAACACTTTATCTGTCAAGTAGCCTATCGATAAACAACATAACAGGTGTCGCTTGAATGTGATTGATTAAAGATGCTATAGACCAATTATAATCAAACTACGCTATCGATCGTCTTATTTTATAATAATATGTTACCATTCTAACTTAGTTTTAAGATTAGAAGAAATTATAAATATAGTAGATCTTGGGATAAAATTGCTCGACGAAACTAACGCTAAAAGATTCTTATTTGTATCGGAATGACGCTTCGTTACCTATTTTCAGTGTTTTTATTTTAAGCCTTGCATTTTCATGGTAGGATATTCACGTAGCTTCCACTATAACAGTAAATCTATTTAACATAACGCTATATAGAATTGTGTAAAATAAATGCCTTCCATTTAAAAGTAAAGTACTTAAACGTAATAAAAATAAATGCATAGACAATATCAGAATCTTCAAACTTTTTAATAGGTATCTAGTAGCTTTTTGTACATAATGAACATAGAGTACTTTTGTAGGATTTTGTATATCAATATTGACTTAGTGGTATAAACCTGAATGTAAGAAAATTTTGTCTAATCCAGTGTTTCCTAACGTGGGACCCACGCCCCACAGGAGGGCAATTCAAAAATGTATTAAAATTATTTGTACCTAATTAGAATTTCAGATTTTCATTATATATTTAGAAAATGTACAAGTATTTTGTATTTCGTTAACAATTTCCTAGTATTTTTTAAAAACAATCTTTATGTTTCTTAAGTAAACCATTCAATTATGTATTTAATATTAAAAATTATGTATGTGAAATAAGGTGGGGCATTGCAAAAATAGGTTGGGAAACACTGGTCTAATCTATCTTATAATTATTGTATAGAGTTAAACAAAATCAAAACTTATTTACTTACTTATTATAATACAAGATGTCCAAGTTATGGCGGCTATACACGCTTGTCGAGTCGAGTCTGACCTTTCAGCAAGAGGACAATATGTACAGACTCGGTAGCAGTTTATCTGCAGATACCATTAGCGCCTTGTCTTGCTTTCAGCTTTATTATAACACATGGACTAAAATAGTGCTGTGTTTTTACTATGGTTACCAGGTCTTACATGGAAATAAACATCGTAACACATAAGTTACTATTTTTGGTACAAGCTTTTTAAGCCGCTACACGGAGAGTTAGCGAGGCGAGACGAGGCGCACTCGTTCATAGCCTGTTTCGTTATAATATAATTATATTAGCTATAAGGTATTCAAATATTGTATACTCTGTGGATAACGTAAGAAATTCTGAAATAGAGGGTTGAACGCATGTTGAATGAGATTTTATTTATAATAACTTCAAGAATATAAAAAGTATTAAACATTATAAGTCTTAGTACTCTTTTGTTATCTACAGTGACAATACATGATGGTTAGGTTGGCTAAGACACCCAGGAGCTCGAGACAGAATCACTTTTCGACAGGCGTGACCTACCTAACGCGAAACGAATTTGTATGGGAATGAAATAGGCTCACGCTTTATCACGTGACAATTTTCATGCAAATTGTCGTGGCGTTATTGGGTCACGCCTGTTGAAATGTGAGTGTACAAATTTTGCCGCCCGAGACAAACATCTGTTTTCGCAGGTGCATTCCATACAAACTTACTCTTGCTAGCCTACCCCAGTTATAAGATGTTTTGTCTAGTAAACCAAACCTCATTCTTAGAATAAAATGCCTAACCGCCGTTTTTATCATATAAAGTTAATATTATATTTATTGTGATTAAAGATATTTTAAATTTTGTAATTATTAAAAATGTGTTAATGACGTAGAAGTCAAAATGATAAAGATTCCTAATTTTTGTTTACTATTATTTACGGTGCAATTCTGATAGAATCAACTTTATATTTGTTGATGTAAGATCCTAGTCATAGATTATATTTATACTTAGTTGTGTTGTTGTAAAATATAGCTTGTGTTGTTTAATGTGAATTAATATTATCAATTAAAATTTAAGTATGTGGAATCCCCATATGATTTATTGTAATCTCATGTAATATTATAAAACAGAGTTAATTTTTGTAACTAATTTTTGTGTCATTTAATAAACTTTATGATCTGGTTGTATGAATTTTCTTAATATTTGTAACGTCCTAGGTTTACACGATCGAACATTATTTATTTGCCTATAAAATAAATAAAGCAGGTAATAGTCCTTTTAAAAAAATGATTACGATAAAACCCCGACATGATGAAGTAGCTGTTGTTGTGTAATATTGCAAAGTTTTAATACTAGCATGTGAAACTCTATTACAGGAGGTTACCTGTCAGTTTCTTTTACCAGATAGAGTAATGTTTCCTAAATGTTCTTTCAACGCAAAATATGAATGAATAATATTATAATATTTAATTAAAATACGTTTTAAGTAAAAAACTATGCTTTTCTGATATGCAAGGCTTATTTAATTTTAGTCAAGCCATATTAAAGCTGAAAAAAAGTGGCCGCTGATCGTATACCTGAATCATGGTATTATAAAGAAGAGAATGGAATAAATAATATATATGTTACAGTTAACACTAGTTTTTAGTTAAAACTCGTTTTCCCTAGTTAAAAATAGTTTTTACTAAATGCCTTTGTCAAAACTAGAAATAACAAGTGAAAACTAGAATTTACCACTGATATAATTCATTTTCTGATAAATCTAGTTGTCACTCCGAGCTTTAGTTACAACTAACACTAGAGAAACTAATTTGAATTTTGGGATTGAAAACAAGATAAAGTTTTAAAAATATTTATTAAAAAGATCTAGGGTATAGAAACATAGTACCGTACCTAGTAAAAAAACTTACACTAAAGGAACATTTTA